AACAGTGAGCGTCAATTAATTTTGTAATAATTAATAATTAAAATCATAAAAAAATACAAATTAATTTGTTTAAAGTAGTATGAAAGATCTTATCTTTCTTGCACATAGAAAATGTCCAATGCAGTTTTCAGGAAATGAAGAAAGAAGAGGCTAAATGCCGAAGAGGCTAATGCCGAAGAGGCCCCCACAAATTTGTGGTATCAAGTGGGCAACTACTTGCTATGGAGTTATTTTCAAAGGTTCGACAACAAGTCGAACTTTTTGAGAATAGCTCTGTAGTCACATTTCATATTTTGTTGTGTTACTTTTTTGCTCGTCACTAATTTGTATTTGTAATTGGAGATGATGGACCATTCCATCTCCTTGGGACACCATATTTGTGTTCCTCAAAATCGTTAAAAAGATGCATATGTGTTTAATTAGAGTCAGAAATATTAAAATCTTTGTATTATTAAATTTTCAAGCTTAAATAACATTCAGTAAATATTACAGTAATTTCTCTTTTCTTGTTTCGTCTTTTAAATTTTTTATAATATTCGTATTTTATTAAATTTGTAATTTGTCTTTTCTTTATAATGCAGTTTAAAAGTCTTTCATAATAATTAATAGATATTTTTGTTTGTAGTAACTTAATATTTGTACTTTTCTTATTTCTTTATTTTTATATATTTTATGTAAATGTAAAGTCACGCGTTTTTAAATTTAATTTCATTGCAACGGTAAATAGTAATTAGATAAAAATAAATAGAGATTTCAATTGAAAAGTGCATCTGCCAATTGGACGATTTATATGTCAGGTAATTGTATCACTTGATTGTATGATTAATATAGTCTTCTTTTTGTTACAGGTGATCATCGTTGGATTTAACATCAAACCTTTTTATATTTTTTTCTGTTTGGTCAGAGCTTAAATGACTGTCTTTTAAAATATATGTTTCAATGCATTTCTGAAGGCACACACTTAAATACTAAATATGAAATATAAAATTATTCTATATAATAAATATAACATTAAATATTTGTAGAACTGTACACACCAAAGATTTTGAATATTTTTTTTAATACAATGTTTAATCTGTTTCAGTTTCAAGATCTACGTGTAAGTTTATTTTCATCATGATAATTACAACAAGCGTATGGTTTGTACACTGAATTTAAATGTATTTTTATATTATTTCCAATAATTATTATTTGCTCGCATTAGTAATGATAAATGATAGCACATTAATTTAATCGATTTTAAATTAGGGAAAAGACTAAGCCTCTTTTTTTTATACAACAAAAATATAAATTATTTCATCTCAAAAAATAATGATTTTCACAAAATGTTTCGTTTTTAAATACAGACCACTTTATTTATTATTATTTTTATATTCATTTTATTTATTATAGACTTATTTCAAATAGAGAAAATGAGATAATAAAATTGACACGCAAGACGGTATATAAATAATTATATTTATATTAACAATAATATTATAATTATCTTTTCAATCTCTCAATATTGTACACCATAATTCGCGAGAGTTTGATCGATCCATTGTTTGTGTTGAGCAACGTTGGTATAAACAGCAGGTATATTAGATTCACCACAACCAATACCCCATGACACTATACCAGCCTATAATAAATTATTATAAATTTAATATATACATATATAATTCAACAATCATTTGTATATACAATATTTCATCAAATCACTTTTATATAAAAAAAAAAAACAGTTCAAACGTTAAGTACGATTTGTTTCGCGTATAAAAAGAAATATTGTACGCGGTTTTTTTGTTTATTTTTGTTTTGTTTATATAGCTCATACTAAAAACAATTAATTTAAATACAATAATACACATAAATGAATAAAATCATTTACCTGAATAAATTGTCCAGTAGTCGTTGGACAAACCAAAGGACCACCACCATCCCCACGACAAGTATCTTTATTAAGTTCACCACCAGCACAAATAAACGAACCATGTAATAAAAAATATTGTCCCAAATTTGTTGTCCTTAAACGATTTTGACAATCAGATCGTTCAACTATCGGTAGATCTACCTTTCTTAATTCTGTTTGAAATTCACCGGTTGTACCTTTCAATTTCAATATTGATTATATATATCATTTTTAGATTGAAATTATTATAAATACTTTAACAATCCCCATATAAGATTAATCTTAAGGATTGTTAAAATTTGTATTTTCAATTTTATTTGATTAAATATCGGTTTGAAATTATAATTATAATTAGGATACGTTTATTTATCGTATAAACAATAAAAAAAAATTATATATATTTATATATATAATTAATTACACACTTCTTGAAAGATA